ACAATCTTTTAGGATGTTATGTGGAATTTATAAAGTAAATGTAGGCAAAGGATAATCTTCCTGATTGTTATTTGGCCTCGGGAAGATCATTAGTCCACTGGTAAAGCAACGTGATGTTTGGGAATTTAGAGATGATATATTGGAAAGAGTATAAGATTCTTGTTACCAAGTTATAGAACTAATGTATCTGGTATCTAGCATAATGTTGAGCTTAGTGTGATCTCAAATCTAAAGGACCAGAGAGTATGAGGCAAGAGTTCCAAGAGTATTGGGATGATGGATATCAGACAGAATTTCAGTCATTTGAACTGAGACTCAGTATAGAGATTTGATAGTGAGAAAAAGCTCTAGTTAATCCATGATGAGGACTGAAATAAAGCAGCACAACTCCATCAAAATGAGAAATATGGAGTGGGTGTAAACCATGGTTTATGTCTTCTCCAATAGTACCAGGCAAAAACTTGTCAAATGGTATGAATCTACAATGAAAAAATAAAAAAGTGAGGAATAATTCCAATGGTCCATGAAGGAGAGAGAATATGGAGACTGGATAACCAATTGAGACGTTACATGTACAGGCTAGTTACACACTCTTAATTAGTTCTTTCGTTGTATAGCTCTAGGTAATTCTGTGACTTTTATATCTCTGTGGTTAGATAACCCAGTACTTAGGGTATGGGGAGTTGTTGTGCTTTCTGCTATAGTAAACTATAGGTGTTCAAGGTGTGACTTAATCCCATCTCCTTACTATACCCCAAGGGAACAGTTAATGAATGATACTCCCTTTAAGTAGAAGAATAATTAACAATAGGTGTATTATTCATATTAATTTATAGTTACTGGATACTATAATTAATGTTATTTATGAAAATCATCATAATTATAGCACTTTACATGTTACACAGTATTTTCCCATCCATTTGGTTATCAGAAGCTTTCAACATCACTCTGATTTAGGATAGGAAGATGTTTTACTTTATAGGTGAGAAAAGTATCCCTAGGGAGGACTTAAACCGTGCTTCAGTTGCCCACCTTACTAATGTTTTCTGTGTCTGTGTCATTATAGAGACAGATATAATTATCAGATTATTCTCATAATACGTTTCTATACGTTACATCCCTGGTGCTTTTGTGGTTCATGCAAGCACCATTGATGGCAGCTTTATTGGACTCCAAAACTGCTAGTCTGTAGAACCACCTCCTCATGGCCTTCAGGCACTGAACTGTTGGGCATACACCACTGTGTGGGCCCTCCCTATCAGGTATCTCACGTCATCCACCACCCCAAACACACACAGAAAAGACAGATTGACTACAGATTTTCTTCAATGCATTCCATAATTTTCTACCCTCCCTTTTTCAGAGAGCACATTCCTTAAGATGCATTTCATTTTTAAACATTTTATAAGTATTAATATCCTCAGGGATAAAGGTGAAATCACTTCTTTACAAAGGTCAGCACTTTGTAAACACGTATACAAAGGCAAAAACTCACTGGCCTGATTCGGTTTGATCAAACTAGATATTCAGACTCAGAGATTACCAGCCTTTCATTTCACTCTTTTTCTATGAGTAGTTGTAGCAAGAGAGGGATAGGCAACATTTATCAAGGTCTGATTTTTTTTTATTCTGAGCCATACAATATAAAATACACACACAGCTGTACCCACACATACATACTGTGTGTTTTGTATGCTATGCTTTATGCTGTATACAGATCATCCGCTGTTCAGTCATACCTCAGGAGCACTGTAGTACTGTAGCACTGTCCTCCTGTTGTTCATCTATTTGCTTGTGCGGGCCTAGTAATGTCTCCATTGTGAGACTTATCGTTACTAGAGTTAGCATATCGAATACATCACGGATAGCTTGCCAGACTTGCCATGCAGGTAAGATACTCTTGGTTGCTTGCCTGGCTCTCCGAGAGGGGCGGAGGAATGAAACCCGGGTCAGCCCAGCCGGCTGAGCAGCCTTGCACAAGGAAAATGCCCTACTACTGTGCTATCGCTCCAGCCCACCTCAAGTAGCATATACATATATTCAAAAGATGTTGATATAAAAAAGTTACTGAACGGACCTCTGATTAGACTTGTCATTTTTTCATTCATATGTAACATTCATTCATTTAGGCAAAAAATAGAACCCTTCCGTGGATTATGCCCTAAGTAATATTTTGGGAAATAATAAGAAGCAAACTAGACAATCCCTTGTCCTCATAAAGCTTATATTTTCCAGAGGAAGACTGATGTTAAACAGACAAGTGCATGTATAAGATAATGTTGGGTGGTGATAGTATGAGAAAAATTAAAGAGTATGTTTCCCTGTGATTAGGAATTTACAGAGGGATTAGCATACTGACTGAATTTATAAGAGATGATCATTGAACCAGATCTCTTTAAGGCTCTTTTATGTGAGGGCTTAAAAAGACTCATGACTCTCAGAAGATGATTTGGTGAGCAAGTCATTTGGGTAAAAGGAAGTAGTGCACTCAATAGGCAATGCTATTTACTATAATTACCTAATACAGTGTATCCACTAAAAGGATACATTGCTTGGAATATTAAAGGATGTAATGCTTGCTTGTCAGTATATCATTATGTTGTTGTGCTGCAAATATTCTAGTTTATTGATAAATGCTTTTTCTAAATTCTACCAGACACTATTCTGCTTTTTAACTCTCTGGCCAAGTACAATAGAAATTAACAAATGGCACTAACCTTCCATTATTTTAGACCTATTGGTTCGCATTACAGATACACTGTTTTTTTGATGGAATCTTTATTTTTTTTTTTAATTTTTATTAGTGAAACACCATGAGGTACAGTTGTAGACTTATAAATTTTTGTGCTTGGGTTTCGATTATACAATGTTCAAATACCCATCCCTCCACCAGTGCCCATTTTCCACCACCACGAATCCCAGTATCCCTCCCACCCCCATCCCCCCATCCCACCCTGTCTCTGTGGCAGGGCACTCCCTTTTGTTCTCTCCTTTTGGGTGTTGTGGTCTGCAAAAGAGGCACTGAGTGGCAGTTATGTTCGGTCCATAGTCTACTTTCAACATGCATCTCTCATCCTGGGAGGACCCTCCAAACACCCTTTATTTGGTGTTCCCTTCTCTATCTGAGCTGCCCTTTTCCTTAGAATGCCCGGCTGGCCTCTAAGCCGTGGAGTAATCCTCCTGGTACTTATCTCAGCTATTCTTGGGTATTAATCTCCTAGTTTGTTACTTTATGTCCCCCAGATGAGGTACAGTTATAGACTTATAAATTTTTGTGCTTGGGTTTCAGTTATACAATGATCAAGTACCCATCCCTCCACCAGTGCCCATCCTCCACCACCACGGGTCCCAGCATCCCTCCCACCCTGCCACTGTGGCAGGGCATTTAGAGACAGTTTTATTATATATGAATGACTATAATTATTTTGTGACCTTAACAAATTGCCAGAGTCCAAAGAACTAGAGTTAATCTCCAAAACTGGGTTATATGGGGGTGGAGGTGGATAGAAACCATGCGCTAGACACTGGTGGAGAGAAGCTGTGGTCCCTGTGAGGTTGGGATGTTGTTGCATTGGAGCTATTAATTTTAGTACTATAGATCAGAGTTCCTCAGTAAAAAGTGAAAAAAATATAATAACTTACTCTATTTCTAAATCCTCAGACCACCTAACTTTATATTTACTTACTTTTTTAAAAAGTTGAGGCACCATGATTATATACATGAAAGGACAGAATTTCATTCTTATAAGTTTCTAACAGCACTATTTCCACCAGTGCCCAAGTCCCTCCACCGTTATCATAGTGTTCCCCATCTACCACTGCCTCCCATTGCGGTAAGCTCGGTTATGAAGAATGGTTCTCATGGTCTATTGCCTTTGGACATTTGTTATTCAATTACGATGATTCTTTCTATCGCATATGTGAGTGTACCTTTCCTTCCATCTCACTCTGCATGATACTCTTACAGATCCATCTATGTAGAACCAGATTGTGCAATTTTATATTTTTTCATAGCTGAGTGGTATTCCATTTTGTACATATCCTGTAATTTCTTTGTCCAGTCATCTGTTCTTGGATGCTTGAAGCATTTCTATGTTATATCATTGTCAATGATGCTGCAATGAACATAGATGCACAACTGTCTTCATAAAAAAGATTTTAATCTCTTGGAGTGGTGAAAGTGCCATGTGGGCACTCAATTCTTCGTGTTTGGAGACATTTCTAAATTATTTTCCAAACAGGTTGAAAAAGTTAATAATTTCCCCAGCTAAGGTCGAGGGTTCCTTTTCCTCCACATCCTATCCAACACCGGATGTTTTTTGTTCTTTTTTAATGTGTGCCCCTCTCCTGGGTGTGAAATGATATCTCACATTTTTTTATTTGCATTTGCCTGATCATCAGTGATGCAGCACATTTTTTCATTGTTTATTGACCACCAGTGTGTCTTCTTTGATGAATTATCTGTTCAGTTCTTCCCATTTTTTGTTTGGGTTATTTTTGGTGTTGTTGTCATTGTTGCTAGTTTTACAAGTGCCATTGTTTTATACTTTTGTTTCTTCCTTTATGTTTTTGTGGTTCTAGGTATCCAATTTAAGGGCCTCATACAAGGACGGAAGGTTCTCTATCACTGAGCAATATTCCAACCTACATATACTTTTTAAACTTAGAATCTACTTTGTTGAATCCATGTTTGAGTGCAGAGCCAGACAGACCTATTACTTCCTTTGAATTCTTATACATATAAAATATTTAAAAATCATGTAAAATAGGTGAACATAAAATATGTGACTTATTATGGATCAGTTTTCTTATTTTAAAAAGGGATGCTAATTCTATTCAGCCTGATCTCACAGATTTTGTAAAAGTTCAATAAAAATGTTACGGAAAAATTGCACAATGTCGAACAATTATTTTAACCCTTCAATCTCATGCCAATTTGAACTCTTATTGAAGGACACTAGGATTTTCCTTTTGTGTAATATTTATGTTGCTTCTTGCAGGGAAACCCTGGCGGCAAGACCATTGAGGAGAGACGCTCCAGCCTGGACGCTGAGATCGACTCTTTGACTAGCATCTTGGCTGACCTTGAGTGCAGTTTGCCCTACAAGCCTCGACTTCCACAGGTAAAAACTGTTTATGTCTCCCATTGTCTGCCACAGTTATCCTATTCCTTTATGAAGAATAAGCTGCTTCTTAATACCTTTTGTTCCTTTTTTTTAATCCCCTCATGGTCAATGTCTGTTTACTCACCATCAGCTTTTTATTTGTCAATAGGAAAGTTCACTGATTTCATTTTCACTTTTTTATTGAGGTTCCATGAGTCCCAGTATCCATTGATGACAGTTTTAGGCATACCTTGTTCTAACACCATTCCTACTACAAGAGTGCTCACTTCCTCTACCAGTGTTCCATTGCTCCCCTCTCATCACCACCCTATTCCCACCCAGACTCAATTTCAGACCAACTTCTATTGCTTTCGGCCTTTTGTTGCTCCCTTGTTGTTTATGTCCCGCATATGAGAGGGAGCATTCAATACCTGTCCCTTTCCTTCTGAATGTTCCTAACATTGATACCCTCTAACTCTATCTTAGTAGGGGCAAAGTACATCATTTCATACTTTTTTTGCCTACTCTGGGTGTTCATCTCTTTACCCTTTTTGGATGGGGTTCTTGGAAATTTTCTTGTAGAGCTTCATTAATGTTTTATAAATATTGAATATTAGCCCTTTATCTAATGTATTATGTGCAGATATTTTCCACCTTTTTCCAGTGTGCCATTTATTTTAATGTGACTTTGTCTTGTTGTGCAAAAATTTTAAATTTGTTATTGTCCCATTAGTTTATTTTGTTTTTGTCTTTATCTCTGTGATCTGCTTGTTGAAGATACCTCTGAGATTCTTTTCCTGGAGAGTTCTGCATATTTTTTATTTATATTTATTTTATGGATTTCAGTCCAATATAAACGTCTTTAATCCACTTTGAATTGACTTGTATGATGTGACAATGATTCCCTTTCCTCCCTCCCTCCCTCCTTCCCTCTCTCCCTCCCTCCCTCCCTCCCTCCTTCCCTCCTTTCCTTCCTTCTTTCCTTCTATATTTTGAAGAGACTTTTCTTGCTCCACTTCATGTGTTTGGCTCCTTTCTTGAAGATTAACTGCCTATAAACCAGAGGGCTTATCTGAGGACTTTAAATTCCGTTTCATTAGTATAAAGGTCTATATTGTGTCCAAATACCATGCCGTTTTATTATTATTATTATTATTATTATTATTATTATTATTATAGCTTTGTAGTGTAGCTAAAGATTGGGAAATGCCGTGTCTCTCATCTTCTTCTTTTTTCCTGTTAGAATTTCTTTGACTGTTTGGGGAATGTTATGCTTTCATACACATTTTAGTAAAACTTATTCCAAGTTCTTAAAGAATATGATTGGAATTTTGAGAGGATTGCATTGGACTTATATGACATTTGAATGGTAGGTCATTTTGACAATGTTGTTCTTCTAGCCCATGATCCCATGATCCTAAACAACAGATCCTATAACAGCAGATCCTATATCATGATCCTACATCAACAGGTCCTCTAACAGCAGATCCTATATCAACAGCACATTTTTTTTTCAAGAATTAAAACCCAGCCCTCATTCTCTCATGCATCAGTGCCCTAAATCACAGGTGTGACTGCATCACATTAAACTCCAAATGCATTTTCAGAACATTTCTCCTTAAGCATATTCCCATTATCTTTTCTACCATGGATCTTTACCTATTTAGAGTCACATGGCAAGGCACACAAGAACTTAGTTCCTTCTAATCTTTCTGTGCTGGTGGCTCCAATAGACCTCCCAATAGTGAAGGTGTACTTTATATCTATGTACATTTACTTAGGTGCAAATATGGAACAGGTACTGGTTTCTGCAGAGAAAATTTTATAAGGAAAGTTGATGACTGAAAGGGAAAAATATAACCTAGTTGTTATCTAACAGGAACCCATAATATTATAAGCAGAACAACAGTTGATATTGCAGGAGCACAAGAGAGTAAATTAATGTTTTCTTGAAAGGCAACATCTGAAAAAAATTAGCAGAAGATTTACATGTTCAGCTGGAAGGGTGAATGGAATTGTAATTGTTGGAGACTTAACAGGGAAAACAGAGCCATAGAGCAAAAAAGTCCAATCATCACTCAGAAAACTGCAGGCGGGTGGGTGACTGCAGATGTGGTTACCAAAGACTTTCAGGTAAAAATTTGTAGGAGTCTATAGGACTGAAAAGGCATTTACTGAGAAATATGCAAGTTTAAAAGCCCAATTGGGATTTTTTACATTTTTTTTTGATAATGTGGCATAGTAAAACTTTTATGCCAAGGGAAAGCCAAAATAAATTTTCACAAAATGGATCATAGGAAACAGGAAAAACTCTGGAAAGATTAAAGAGGATTGGCCCAAATCTGAGGAATGTGATTTGTTAGTCAGTTTCTGATGATTGTTTAATATTAACCCATTTTTCTGTTTCTCTCAAGCAAATACCTCAGACTTAGTTTGTCATGTTGCTTAGTGGCTTTTTCACTTATCTCCACTTTGCTCCAGTATTTGTATGACTTCTGCTTAGAAATAAGAGTATTTTTGTTTATTCTTTTTTCCCTCCTAAGTATTTATAACCTAAGAGATTCTTGTGTGATTCTGCTTAAATTTTGCCTTCTTTCTTTTTTTTTTCTTTTCTGTTTTTTGGGTCATACTCAGCAATGCACAAGGGTTACTCCTGGCTCTGTATTCAGGAATTACCCCTGGCGGTGTTCAGGGGACCATATGGGATGCTGGGAATCGCACCCAGGTCCGCCTCGTGCAAGACAAACGCCCTACATGCTGTGCTATTGCTCCAACCCCATGTCTTCTTTCTTGAATGCCATGTCTATATATACACCTCCTAAAAAGTACTGCATTCTGATCTGTTTATTCATCAGTGACATTTTTATTGGGCAATGTCTTTGTGCACACAAACTCCTAATCGCAGCTATTAGAGTGCACACCACTTTACAGGTTGTGAACCATATTTGCATATAATCTCACTTAAGTAAAATGCAGATATCTCACCTAGGAGCTGTAGGTGACCTGCTCCTTCCATGGACAAAGAAACTAAATTAGCAGATAAGTGACTTGTTCTGTGACTTTTGGTTACAATAAGGGCAAAGCTGACTTTGAGTTTAGACATATTTCTATTTCAAATTCCTCAATCAGATTGTGATTGTCAGGTGTTTCAAAAAAATGTTTTTACCCGTACCTCAAAAACTCTGAAGTCAGTATGAGGGCTCTTAAGTAAGACTCTTAGGGCTCTTTTCTGATGAACAAGAACACATATGGAAAGGTAAGAAAAAAAATCCTGATAACCTTTGTGTAGAATAAACTGAGACTAAACTCTACTTCCAATATAACCCATTCTAACATTTTATTATTTAAATTTAGAAGATAAGAGATAATTGGGATATATTGCTCATTCTTCTGAATTATCTTCTCTCCAGTGAAACTGAATTAGAAGTTTTAGTATTTATTGGTTAAATAATTATATGCTTTGAGAACAATAATCACACACTTAAAATATTAAAGACGTGTGCCAAGAGAAGATGTCTGCTGAAGACTGTGCTGTGTAATTAAATGGTACATGGAAAGTCCTAGAAATGTAGACAGTTAATGCCCAACTTTGATGTCTTCATATTTTGATCCAAAGCAAATTGCAAAACCTGTTGAGTCACCTCACTACTTAAAGTTACCTATGAGGGTTTAACTCCTCACTGTCAAAGCACGCTTTGTGCTTTTCTGAAACCACTTCTAAATCACTTTTGGAAAATGGCATTGAATCATGAATTTATGGGACAAAGCTATTTTGACTCATGGTTGTATATAAGAAATATTTGTCTAATAAGAGGTCCAAAGGAGTTCTTCCTATGTAACAGCTTTTAATAGTGTCTGTGCTCTTGAAAGACATTTTATTGGCCCATTTTGCTCCTTTTCTTCTGTGAACTTTCATTTTCCACTTTCATATTTCTCAGTGCCGGTTCTGTTCACTTACTGTTACTGAGAAACACAGTTCAAGTTAATATATTTACTTATTTACTAACTTATTTTTGAAAGGTGGGACTATATCCAGTGTTGCTGAAGGGGCCATTACTAAGTCAATTCTTTCCGGGGTTGAGGAGGAGTAGGGGGTAATAGTGTGACTATGCAGTGTTCTGGATCAAATGGTTTCTGCATGCAAATCTTGTATTCAAACCAGTTGAGTGTCACTCTGGCCTCATACATTTATTCTCATGCCTAGCACATCACTGTGCTTCAGGCAGGTTATGGCTGCTTTAATATCTACTTTTATGGAAAACACAATTACATAATCAATACAGAAGTACACCAAAGAAGGACTTCAGTGTGCTACTTCTAGCCATCATGTGACATATCAGATATTAACATTGTGTGAAATCAGAAATATGAAGATCAACTTTCTACTTTTTTCCTTTTCAGAGAGGTGTCGGGGAGGACAGTATAGAGCGGGTAGCATTGGGTTTTCTGATGATATGGAATGTTGGATAAAAAATGGGCATAGGATGTGAGAAAGGCAAGGAATGTCGAGATTGAATATCGTGTTTGCAAAAATTACTTGTTTTAACTTCGGTATGGGTTCAGTGGAGGTCAGATATGGGGGAGGGTTTAAAAAGTAACTTTAGGGGGCTGGAGCAATAGCACAGTGGTTAGGGCGTTTGCCTTGCACGTGACTGACCTGGGTTCAATTCCCAGCATCCCATATGGTCCCCTGAGCACCGGCAGGGGTAATTCCTGAGCACAGAGCAGGGGTAATTCCTGTGCATCACCGGCTGTGACCCAAAAAGCAGAAAAATAAATAAATAAAAAATAACTTCAATACCAGCACAGCCATCCTGTTATCTTATGGTCCCATAGTAAGAGCAATTTAGGGGTGATACAGTGCTTCCAGCTGTGTTTTTGGTAGTTCCATATGAACAAACATTCACATTTGACATTGCATAGCTCTGAGATTAAATGTCCTTCGGTTTGAACCCCAAATGTTTAGTAATTTTAAAATATATGATAAGAAAGTGACTTTATAACAATAGATGTGAGAG